TTTTTGAATTTACCATGCCCTGGATGACTGAGAATCTTCACCAGCTATTAATGACACAATCGGCTTGCTATAGTACCCCCACCTTCATTCTGCTCGCTGTTTGGCGCAACCATCAAACCAGCTGCACCGCCCCGGCAATATGCAGCTAATTTGACCATTAAAGTGCATTTTTTAAGTAAAAGTTCAACTGAGACACACATTTGCTATAATGTCGAGCAAACATATAATTGTTTTAGGTGCTTTTTCTTTTTAAATTTTGAAGAAACGAGCAGCGTTCCTCCTTCCTTTTTTCCTCCCTCTGCGCACTCCTGGAGCACCGAGGCAGCGATTACTTTTGAAATACAGCTGATTTGACAGTTAAAGTCCTTTTTATTAAGCAAATGTTGGACTGAGACACACCTTTACTATAATTTCAAGCAAACAAATAATTGTTTTTAGGTGTTAATCTTGTTAAAGTCCTCCTGTGCACACTCTCGCGGCCGCCATTTGGCAGCCCATCGATTTTTGGCTCAGCACAGGCCCACATTTTCAGGTTGTCAGAGGCGACGCATAATAGATGCGACGTATACAGTGAAACGACATATTTATGGATTTTTCCACTTTTTTAGACATATTTGGACTATTAGGGCGGTGCGACGGTTTACGGTGGAAAATACGGTACTCCTCAGCTCAACAAAAACAACCAGCTGGCCTGCTGTTTTCACAGCAGCTGCTTCTTCTTCTGCTGTTTAAATATTGTGTGGCAGTGCAAGAAGCTTCTGGAGCTAAAATTAAATAACAGTGGAAATAACTGTTTTCAGGGTAAGCAGGCTGCTTGAGTTACCACTCTTTTTGTTCTTATCTTTCTTGTTTTCTCTCTTCCTTTTAGTCCCTCTTTTTCAATGTCTCTTGTCTCATCTTACCTCCATCTTTACTTCTTTATCCTTTGTCACTCTGTTTTCTTGTATTACTTTCCCTCTATTTTTATCCCCAAAATATCACTCTTCTCACGTTGTCTCCCAGGACCATCCTGCTCAGTGTCATCTCTCTGCTGAATGAACCAAACACATCTTCCCCAGCCAATGTGGATGCATCTGTCATGTACCGCAAGTGGAGGGAGAGCAAGGGCAAAGACGGAGAATACATCGAGATTATAAGGTATCCACCAGATAATGCACAAACGCAGGACGCCTCAAAGGGAGGCTTAGAACAGAGGAGACAAAGTTCTGACTCCGAAACTCTTTTTCTTTCCATCTCAAAGGAAGCAGGTGCTGGCTACCAAAGATGACGCAAAGCGGGACGGCGTCAATGTTCCCGTCACGTTGGCTGAATACTGCGTCCGCACCAAACTTCCCCCAACAGATCACGGCTCCAACCTTTTATGCGACGACCCCTGTGACTCCTATAACTCGGATGACGAAGACGAGCTGGATGAAGACGACGACGACGATGATGACATTGAGGGCCATTTCTATGACGACAACGACTCTGGCACTGAGGATTCCTGACCGTGTGGCGTCATCCACCTCCTCTCCCACCCCTGACCAGTTTCCACCTACACACACGCCTCCCCTCTTCTGTCACAGATTAGACTTTAACTCCTCCACCTTCTGTTGCGTACAGTCACGGTATGCACACTAAAACCTGATTCTGTGAGGAAAAGAAAGCTGCAGAGTTGTTTTTGATTGTTTCATACATTATATATATTTTTTTCATTTGTTGTAAGAGTAGAAGTTAGACACAAGATGAACACAAACAGCAGGAAAATGTAAAGAAATCCTTCCTCGTTTCTCTCCACTTGTCTGCACTGACAATTTGTATCTCTGTAAAGCTATTTAGGTTTTGTCTTGGTCAAGTTTCTTGCTGGTGCACGATCGGTCCCTTCTGATACACCATCAGCAGACGGGAGTGTAACGTCACGGATCAGATCACGATAAAACATGAAAGTAAGCGATAGCCTCCAAAGCTAATTAAGGACAAAATGCCTATTTGTCTCCAAGTCATTTTCGTTGGAGCCATATGTCAGCGTGTTTTAGGCTCTGCCTCGGTTCACCTCTGACCTTCATAGCTGCAGGGCTAGAGCTACTCCAACTGTGGGAAATGTCTCAAAAACCAACTCGTCCTCCCTTGTGCCTTTTTATTTTATTTTTTTACAATAAAATCCCAGATCTGAGCAACTGGCTGATCGGTCCAAACAAACCCCTTTCAAGCTAAACACACAAAAGTAGCAGAGATATTCAAGCTCTGTGTGACATACAAACTTATTTATAGAAGCACCTGTTAGATTTATCTGGGGTGTGAGTGAGGAAATCTAAGAGCCAACAGCTGGTAAACAATGAACATGTTACTGCCCCACAGCCTTTACTGGAAAGGTACCTGCTACTGGTTGTCTGGAGGTGATGGGAAAAAAAATAAAAAATCTACCTGAGCCTGCTGCTGCTCATAAAATCCAGAGTACTGTATAAATAAAATCCTATGCAGTCGGGGTTTGGAAGTTTAATATGCAGTGCTTTAAATGTGGCGGTCCTGCAACAGTCTGATCTAACTCCAGCTCAGGCCCTGAAGGTTTTTGTTGGTAGTTCTTTCAGAGGGTGCCCACCAGCCCCCACTGAGCTCGCCTCCTACTGTTGACCGAGAGCACAAACACTTTCTGACCAGCAACTGGATTGCAGCCATCTTGACTCACCTGGATCAATGTTACATCGGAGGAGCTCAAGAATGGAGTGACCTGCTGAATATTTAGATTAATGGGGGGGTCAGTCTGTTGTACACTTTACTACATCGACACCAGCAGCAGCGGTGCCAACGACATAACTGTTTTAATTTTGTGTAAAAGTTTGCCGATGGCTTAAAAGAAAAACTTGGAGAAGAGCTTCGAGAACGTTGTAGGTTTGTGTGAGCGTGAACGGGACAGTGATATTCTTAACTAGCATGCCGCTAATGCGTTTGTGGTTTTTAGATTATTTTTTTCTGCTATAAGAGTTGGGGTTGTGTTGAAGGGGGTCGTCTAATTAAATTTTAGCTGAAACTTGTTTTGTGACTGGGCTGAGGGTTGATGATTTTATTTTAGTCGTAACTTTTCCCCCCAAATGATGGTGCAAGCCCAAACGTTTTTACGTTTGTATTGGGAATAAGACCGAATTAGGACGATTGTACTTTTGTCTGACAACAAAAATGTTGGAGCTCAAATTGACGTGACCGCACCCTGACCTGCGTATAAATGTTCCACAGGGAGTTATTAATACCGACGAACGAACTCGTGCCCATTCTGTGTTCATTAACGATGTCCACTCTTGTGTTTTATTTAGGATTTAAAAGAATGGGATTTAATTCTATTGTCAAAACTTTTCTCGTTTTTCCTCCACACTCATTCCCCCAAGTTCTCTGAACTCTCTGAACCCAGAAGTTAAAAAAAACAAAAAAAAAAAACACCAATTAACCAACCAGTTCCTCAGCTGAGTAAACCAGACCCTGGGGGGGAGGGGGGGCACCTCTCTGTTCGGCTTCATAGGATTGTTTACGATTTCTACCTTAATATGCACATGTGGCTATTTTGATGATCACTTGCTGTTTTTTTGTTTGTTTGTTTATTCTCCTTTTTTTCTTATGGTTTGTAAATCTATTTAAAATTAAATAAAGTTCTTTATTAGATGCTGACTACTTTTAAAGGGATGTTTCTTTTTTTCATGGTCATTTTAAAGGTGATTGGTATTAATTTACTGTTTCTCTTGAGTGAATGAGTTGAGAAGACTTTTGTCCGTCTTTGTGTTTTTTGACAAGTAAAGCTCAGGATGAGACGTGTGCACAGCGGACAGGATTTTAGGGAATACTTGGAGCAACATATTCTCTTATTTTTATTTTAAATTTTTCGGCTGCTCCCGTCTTCAGGGGTTGTCGGAGCGAACGAACGCTCGAAGACTTGGCGATTGTTTTCACGCCGGATGTCTTTCCTGAAGCAACCACCGAGCTACCACAGCGCTCTGTGTGGAGCAGAGAGCTGCTATGGGCTTCCAGGGGAGCAGGTGGTGGTGGGGGGGTGGTGTTGAAGGCCTTGCTCAAGGGCCCAGAGTGGGGCAGATGTGGGTGCTTCACCTTTACCACCCGCATTTTGACATTGTCGATCTCGGGAGTCAAACCAGCGACCTTCCGATCACAAGCCCACCTTCTCTAATCTTTGTGCCACCACTCCCCAATACCTTCTCTAAAATATCAAGTGGTAATTACTTGGTTCTTTAAGAAGATAAGTACTTTAACCGTCACAAATATGAGGATCTGGTGTTTTTCTTGCATCTTTTAATTATACTCGTTTTTTTTCTTCTCAATTTCAGCAAATCTATAATGAAAAAAACATGAAGAATGAACACCATTTAATATTAGACGCTTTCAAAAGAGTTCATCTTTAACTATAGAAATATTTAATTGTAAGCAGTTTATTTGTTATATCTATTCGTTGTTAGCAGTGGACTCTGAAAGTGTGGCAAAACTTCAGTGAGGCTGAACTCGAGCTGCTTTAATGTTTGTCTTTGGTTTCATCTGAAGACGTGGACGTGTTCTCTGCGTTTATGGCCTGCAGTATTTATGAAGTTTAAGAGCACTTTAGTGTCATTTCTCTTTTTTTAAATAGGTTTAGTGAACTGAAAAATAATTGACTTTAGTCATCTGTGTAAAAACTTCAATAATTATGTTTCCACGTTAAAGAATGAAAACAAATTTTTTTTTTAAAGTTTTTTTTTTAAGTTTTTTTTTTATGTTCAATTATTTGTTTTAGTTAAAAGTTGGGCTTTACCTTTGGCTTGTTTCAGGATTTCCAAATGTTTCCTGAAATATTTTCTTAGCTTTTCTATTTCAACAAAATACTGACACTATAAAATGTATCTTTGCTGGGAGTTTTTTTTTTTTTTTTACTTGTGTAAACAAATTTATATACATTTTTATGAAACCTCGTGGACACAGGAGTTTCATTCTGTGATCTGAGAGCATGTATCTCATCAATTAATCTTAACTTTTGGAGCTTTGTCACAGTTTGTTACAGCCCTGCAGCCATTCCACTTGATTAATAGGAGAATCCTCAAACCACTAAAGGTCCACTCCCCACCCCAACCGCCACCAGTGTGTCCCCCCCACATTACAAATGCTTCTGACGCCAATGCTGTGGTTCACAAGATATTTTGCTAACAGACAAACAGGGTCGACTATGCTAAAGTTTAAAGCAGAAGTTTCACTTAAATATGTGTTGAGAGTGACTCTCAGCTACTACCACACAACTTTAGTACAATATTTGTAAAGAGGATTGATTGTAAAGTTAAGTGTGTGGCGACCACATTGGATGGGGTTGACTCCACAACTTGTTTAAGTGTAGATGTACATCCATTTATTATGTCCTGGGAGTTTTGTTAAAATAAATCCACTGGTTCATGGGATAGTTTGATCCAATAAATTTATTTTGGAACAATTCCCGCTTGAGTTTGAGTATTTCAGCTTGTAGCCTGTAGGGGGCAGCAACAGCTCGTCACTGTGTTGGTGCTGCGCCTCAGGAACCTCAGAGAAACTCAAACTAAATCTGAATTTGGGTTAATTTCTTTGTCAGTTTACAGAGTTATTAAAGTGTCTTTTGTTGGAATGTTTGGATCACGCTTATGATTTCCAGTCAGTGTCACGGACTCTGATGTTTGCCCCCTTTATTTGGGATGGGGGGTCCTGTTCTCCATAGAAGAACAAAACTACAGATTGGCTTGAGTCATTTAAAGTATTGCCTCAGTAAACTAATAGCTCCTTCGCCTGAGTTAGATAAAACAAATGTTTTCCGTCATCCTCCCAGCTTTAAACACCTCACCTACGATGTCCAGCAATCTACCACCAGGATATGAAAATCATTCATCTGTGAAATGCCACCAGAGAGATTTGATCTGACAAACTAATCAATAAACTATATTTTGGAGGCTTCAGGCCAGCTATAAATGCACACAGTAGTGTCCAGCTGTCCTTCTTTCAGTTATTGTTTTATTTCTTTTTACTCACCCTTTCATAAGTCGTCCCAGCAGTCTCTCCTCTCGGGGAGTATTTGCAGCCGAACGCATCAAATTTGCTTCCTGTGGGAACAGGTCTGACCTTTTACCCTGCATGTGTCTGTTCCAAATGCCAGTCCAGCCAAGCAGAGCAAGGCAAGACGCTCAAATTGTGCTGACATTTGATGAATAACTCCCCCCTCTGTGGTTTCATTTATACTTTGCACAGTGTTATTATATTACTATTATTTTTATTAAATTTTTTTTGTCTAAATGGATGACGCTCTGCTTCAGCTGTGGTGTGAAAAAACTGAACCGGAGCCAGACGTTCAAACCTGCAGGCCTTACCAGTGGTAGCTGTTTACCCATGTTTAAGTAGAAGTTGCTGCGTTGGTTGAGGAAAAAACAAAAGAGAAACCATCAGTTGTTTATAGTGTGTGCTGAAATGTTGGAACGGATGCTCTAGTCTTACAGATCTGAGAGTCTTATGAGAAAGCGTTCTATTTTTATCCTTAAACACGTTTTTGGTCATGATTTTGTTTGCAGTGGTGGAGAAAGTACTCAAACACTGTACTTAAGTAAAAGTGCAAATAAACGGACAAAAAATGCACTCTAGTAAAAGTAGAAGTACCGCATTAATGTTTTTACTTAAGTAAAAGTAAGTAAGTTCTTGCTTTTAAAAATACTTAAAGTATTAAAAGTAAAAGTACTTGCTGTATGTATTATCTAATGCAATGGTCTCCAATATCGTTA